TATCAGCCACTGCTTGTTTTACCTCATTTGGTTTATCTTTTTGTACATATTTAAATATAATGCTCAATCTCACTTTTGCTTAACTAGGTCATGCATGCCCAAACTAAGAGCCATGGGCCATTTGTGTCCTGTTCCGTGGACCCCTGCCGCTAAACCAAAGAAGCCATTGGGATCATAAAAAAGCCAACTTCAGACTCATCAATATAGGATATAGTACAAACTGACAATTGTTTTTTCCGATTGTGTCATAACATTTCTGTTCAACTGTTATATATAATAATAGGTATCACTGTATGAAATCCAAAACAGTAAAAACAGTTCTACAATCTGGGTTGAACTAAATTGAACCTGAAGGTTTGGACACCCCAGGGATGAGGTAACATAATGAATGAATGTGTGGTTGCATCACCAAAAGATATTTCAAATCCAATGTTTTTTTTTGCTTTATTGCAAGAATAAGTGAGAGAACTCAAGGTTAAAAGAACCTAAAGTCAAGCGGTGCACACAGACCCTCAACAGAGACGAGGGGGCTTTCACCTTGATTCACACCTGGGACTGACTTCTCCCGTGACCACGGTGCGGCAGGGGGCGTGGTCAGTCTGACGGATCTGCCTGACCTGTCTGACTGACCACATCCGGAAACAACAGCTGATCAGAGACATGTCATATCATCACATGTCACCGGTGGAAGTCTAACCCCCGAAACATGTGTTATATAAGCAGTACTAGCTTCATGACACTTTTCTCTCATTAGAAGAACCCTCAAAGCCTTAAACATAAAAGAAAAAATAATTCCAGATTCCAAGATTTGCACTTAAGTCTATGTGCAAGTCTCACATCTCACACCCTGCCACTAGAAAATGCCAGTATACCTTTAAATCTCCACATGTCCCATTCCTGACTCCTGATATATCGTTTGAAAAGGAGAGTACTCCTCCTCCCTTGACACTGCCCCAAAATTCCACCTCTTTGATATCCTTAATGTGTTTAAATTTCAGAGTTCATCTTGGGTGAAGTTATCCTTAAAAATGTCTTTCCTCTCATGGTCCTGTCGGTGTTAGCTTTTTTTTTAATTTCCTCCTGTACGTGTGGCGTGTGGACCGTAGTTTGGGACACATACATTTGAATGGAGCGAAGAGAGAGGTGCTGATTAGCGCACGTTCAAACAGGACCCACTAATCCAGCCATGTGCATCCCGGAGATAAGGGCCCCGTCTGCACACAGCCTCTTGGAGCATTTCTCAGTGGCGCGTGTGGGACAGTAGCACCTAATTCTCCCTAATTCTCTAATCCTGAGCAGGACCAGAGCACGGCAGCAGCCAGCGGTGACCGGCCGTGCTTCAAACATTAGGGCCCGGATAATGGGGAATGGGGTGGCGGTAGTAATAGGCGTACGCTAAGCCAAATGTTGTGAATGAGAGAATAAACAATATGATTCTAAACCAATATTCACGTGGAATTTTGTAGAGGTGTTGGTTGAAGAAATACACAAAAGAAAATCATGGTGTATTTTCTTTTAATAATTACCCAATGCCACAAACCTGCAACATATCATTGTGCCATTTTGAAGGCATGGGTAATGCAGGAGTTAAAGAAAATGTAGAAAAAATGTAGTGCATTTCTCCATTGTGAATAGTCTATTTTTATATTATCTTATCTTAGTGTGATATTATGCAATCTAGGCTGCATTATGCAATAGATGTTATAATGTAAACTCAAGACCGGCCCAGGTTAACTTTTTGTTACTTAAGGTATTTATTATTTTGCTTAGCCAGTTGTTTGTTAAGTGTGACGTAAAATAAATAAAATGGATACCTAATGTCTGTCCCATGTTAGCAATAACCCAGTGTTCAGTTTTGCTTTTCTGAAACACTTCACTTGGTGCACTGTGACCGTACAATAGACTGTGGCTCTTCTTTACGATAGTGCTGACGACTGTGAGTTTCTTTTATATTCAGGACACAGCTGCTGCTTGCTGCACACAGACGATACTACAGAATGTGTATCCTTGTTTCAATATCTCTAAACTGCATTTTCTGGAGTCAACGTTTGTAAAGCATCGTTGCATAGTTGGACTGGATTTTAGAGGCTGATTTTAAATTGCTGTTGATCTTGAGTATTTTGACAAGGAATTTGTTTTTGTTTTTTTAAATAAGAACAAATGTCTTTACTAATTGAAATGTATTCCTACTTGACTTGACTTACTTTTTGCCCGATAATTGGTGAATAAGATCTACACTTTTTCTTGTATTTATTTCTGTTCAGTAGACCTGCTCTAAAGCTCCACCTTGTTTCACATAACATTTCTGGAAAACTCTGGAGCCCATAGGGTTAAATTAAAATAGTCATAAATGATACTGTTCATTTTAATCCCTTTTTGAACTCTTTATGTCAAACAAAACCTTGGGATTGGTGCATGGGTGGACTGTAGAGCAGGTGACTGAGCGAAATAAATGATTGAATATATGTATTATTCAACATACTTCAGCCAAAAATGATCAAAATGATGTGTCTGTCTGCGGCCTTGGCTCTTGTAATGGATTTGGAGGCTGTGGGCTGCTACAATGGCCCTGCAGATGGCTTCACTTGTGTTTTAACATACATATATAATAATGAAACCACAAAACACAACATTGGTGCAACGACAACAAAATATACCACCAACCACCACTGCTTTGGAAATATCAGCATAAATATCAATAGATTTATGCAACAATGAGTTTCAAGATTTCCCAGTGAATGTAAACTCAAAGCATATCTTCAAAATCACTATAGCAACAAGAGTGTCCCTGTCACGACCGCGGTCAAGTGACAGAGGACTCAAAAATGCAGGAAATAAATAATAATGCTCAAAGGATGAAAAGGATTAAGGAGGAAAAATAAAAGTCCAAGGTAAAAACAAAACTAAACAAAAAATCCAAAGGAACTGAACGGAACAGGACAAAACAGGACAAAACCGGACGAAGCAGGACGGAACAAGACGGAACAGGACAGAACAGGACAAAACAGGACGAAGCAGGACGGAGCAGGACAGAACAGGACAAAACAGGACGAAGCAGGACGGAGCAGGACAGAACAGGACAAAACAGGACGAAGCAGGACGGAGCAGGACAGAACAGGACAAAACAGGACGAAGCAGGACGGAGCAGGACAGAACAGGACAAAACAGGACGAAGCAGGACGGAACAGGACAGAAACGGACAAAACAGGACGAAGCAGGACGGAACAGGACAGAACAGGACGAAGCAAGACGGAACAGGACAGAAACAGGACAGAACAGGACAAAACAGGATGAAGCAGGACGGAACAGGACAGAACAGGACAAAACAGGACGAAGCAGGACGGAACAGGACAAAACAGGGTGAAGCAAGACGGAACAGGACAGAAACAGGACAGAACAGGACAAAACAGGATGAAGCAGGACGGAGCAGGACAGAACAGGACAAAACAGGACGAAGCAGGACGGAGCAGGACAGAACAGGACAAAACAGGACGAAGCAGGACGGAGCAGGACAGAACAGGACAAAACAGGACGAAGCAGGACGGAACAGGACAGAACAGGACGAAGCAAGACGGAACAGGACAGAAACAGGACAGAACAGGACAAAACAGGATGAAGCAGGACGGAACAGGACAGAACAGGACAGAACAGGACAAAACAGGGTGAAGCAGGACGGAACAGGGCAGAACAGGACAAAACAGGACGAAGCAGGACGGAACAGGACAAAACAGGGTGAAGCAAGACGGAACAGGACAGAAACAGGACAGAACAGGACAAAACAGGATGAAGCAGGACGGAGCAGGACAGAACAGGACAAAACAGGACGAAGCAGGACGGAGCAGGACAGAACAGGACAAAACAGGACGAAGCAGGACGGAGCAGGACAGAACAGGACAAAACAGGACGAAGCAGGACGGAACAGGACAGAAACGGACAAAACAGGACGAAGCAGGACGGAACAGGACAGAACAGGACGAAGCAAGACGGAACAGGACAGAAACAGGACAGAACAGGACAAAACAGGATGAAGCAGGACGGAACAGGACAGAACAGGACAGAACAGGACAAAACAGGGTGAAGCAGGACGGAACAGGGCAGAACAGGACAAAACAGGACGAAGCAGGACGGAACAGGACAAAACAGGGTGAAGCAAGACGGAACAGGACAGAAACAGGACAGAACAGGACAAAACAGGATGAAGCAGGACGGAACAGGGCAGAACAGGACAAAACAGGACGAAGCAGGACGGAACAGGACAGAAACGGACAAAACAGGACGAAGCAGGACAGAACAGGACAAAACAGGACAAAACAGGATGAAGTAGGACGGAACAGGACAGAACAGGACAAAACAGGATGAAGCAGGACGGAACAGGGCAGAACAGGACAAAACAGGACGAAGCAGGACGGAACAGAATGGTTCGGGACGGTCCAGGACGGAAAAGGACGGAACAGGGCGGAACAGGATGGTCCAGGATGGTCCAGGACGGAACAGGATGGTCCAGGACGGAACAGGATGGTCCAGGATGGAACAGGACGGTCCAGGATGGAACAGGATAGTCCAGGACGGAACAGGATGATCCAGGATGGAACAGGACGGAACAGGACGGAACAGGACGGACGGACAGAACGGAACAGGCTGGAACAGGACGGAACAGGACAGAACAGGACAGAACAGGACAGACATGGACAGACATTGACAATACAATGAACCAGGAACAATGGCAGAGGAGCACACATACACATAGCCACAGACAGACACACACATCAGGGCGGGGCAGAAAACCAACAGGGGAAGAGGACAGGAAGTGACACAATCACAACAGAGAACACTATAGTCAAAATAAAACACCATGACAGTCCCTCCTCTAATGGTCCCATAACAGCTTGTCTATCAAACATGCATGTCAAGCTGGGGTCATTATCAGCTGGGGGACATCTGGATATATCATTTTTCATGCAAATGTGTCATAGCAGACCAAAAGTGAGCGCGTGACTGACCAGGGCGCAGAGCAGGTCCACCGCTTCCAGGATGAGCTCTTGGTGTCCGATCCTGGTGACCCCCAGCTCCTCCAGCTCCTGGTGTGTGATGTGCAGCAGCTGTTCTCCGCCCATCTGCTCCCTCTCGAAGCTCTTCACGTACTGCTGAAGACAGTCATCCAGACCTGAGCACACGAACACAGACAGGTGAGTGAGAGGCAGGTGATGGACAGGTGAAGACACACACAAGTGGCTGAAGTTCCCACACTGTTCTCAATGATGCGTACAATGTAGTGCTGCTACTTGACTCCAACTTCCTCTTTGGAAACAAAAATAATAATAAACAATAATCAAACAAAACATTTTGGACAAAGAGCTGCAATTTTGAACATATCAATTACAGTAACACACTTTTTAATGGCCCACAAGGTTTTATACTAGTTATATTTATACATACACAGATTCTCATACTATACTGGTTTAACATACAGACGTATTCACCCTCGCTGTGTGAAGGAGAGGTTCTGTAGATCTTTCTTTCCTGCTGCTGTCAGACTGTACAACAAACAATGAGGACTAACGTACACTGCCAACCTGATCTCACATGTCATGCATTGGGGCAATATAACTAATGTCAGAATGTGCAATAACCACATGTCACTGTCACTTTACTGAGTCACTATGTCCCAGAGCCCAATGTACAGAAGTAAACATACTGCTGCTAATGTACAGATGTAAACATACTGCTGCTAATGTACAGATGTAATCATACTGCTGCTAATGTACAGATGTAAACATACTGCTGCTAATGTACAGATGTAATCATACTGCTGCTAATGTACAGATGTAAACATACTGCTGCTAATGTACAGATGTAATCATACTGCTGCTAATGTACAGATGTAAACATACTGCTGCTAATGTACAGATGTAATCATACTGCTGCTAATGTACAGATGTAATCATACTGCTGCTAATGTACAGATGTAATCATACTGCTGCTAATGTACAGATGTAAAGATACAACTACATATTGCTTGCTCTAGAATGCACAGTACTTTATACTTGCTTCTTATTTTAATGTAGAGATTTTATACTTCTTTATTATGTTAAATATAGAGATCTTAAACTTGTTTCTTTGATGCTATAGATAGAGATTGTATCTTTTTTTAATTACTATAGAGTTATTGTTCATTTATCTTGTGATGTGTGCTCTGTTTCTTGTGATGCAACACTGAAATTACCTCAATGTGAGACAAATAACACATCTGTTAATCTTATTCTTAATCTTTATGATACTAGTTTATCTGCACCTCTCTCCCAGAGACAGAAGACAATGTTGAGCTTGTAGGTTTACACACCCCGACAGACGATATGCTTTAATAACCATATTCAGATAATGATTAGGGCTGTCAATATTAGTTGATGGTTCCTTGGTTGACCAAATGTTGTGTTAGTTGACAGACAATTGTATGTATATTACTATAAAGTCTGTGTGGAATCTGCAAACATGGAAAGATTATGAAGCAGAACAGCTGAAGATGTTATTTTGATATTATTTGCTCAGGATTTGTTTGGCTAATCGCTAAATGCTTTATTCCTACTGCGTTAATAAGAAATAAGCATAAATCCTTTCAAAACCAAAGCCCACGGCACAGCTTCGTAAATGCTGCTGTATTGAAATGTACATCTGTAATTAGCGGCTGCTGTGCAATATTGATCCCAAATCAATGTATGTTTCATTTCACCATTTCTGCTTTATACTGGTACATTTGATCAAAACCATGCAGCCATCTCGCCGGCTCCACTCACTCTCACACACTATTGACCAGCGCCCACACAACCAACTTTCAGTATTTCTATTTTTAGCTTTGATCGTGATAGAAATCACAGTTCACACATTAATTCAGTCAGCTATCTTATAATACATTCAATTTTCTGTCCATCAGTGAAAAATGTTTTTTACAACATATTTCATTGTTACTAGTAATACATTATGCATACCACTTGTGCTTTTCATGACTCCCTCAGAAGCTGCACATGGCATTTTGAATTCATTCCACAGACGGAATCGTGCAGACTGATGGAAGCAAAGCAAAGCAACCAATTAACCATTAACCAACCACCAGCAATCATTTACCCACACACCCAGACTTACACAAGGCCATGTGGGTGAAGTGTCTTGCCTAAGTACACAACAACACTTTGTCACAGTTCGGTCTCCCATCAGAGTTCTAAACACGCCCTGCCCTGCTTAGCTTTTTGAAGTATGACAGGATCAGGCTTTCACATGCAGGTGGCGCAGGTGGTGATGTGAGGAGGCACCAAACCAAATACAAACAAAATAATATATCCTTTTAACTGAAAAAGATTGACTGAATTTTTACGTAGTAACTACATTTAATTTTATTTATTTGTATATATATATTGTGTTTTTTTATGTATTGTTTTGTGATGTTGCTGTTTTTTGTTTTTTGTTTCCATTTATTTTCTCTTGTTTTAACTATTTAACAAAAAAAAATGGAACAAATATATTGTGTTTTGCTAACACAGTCACATTTACTGTATCAAGGAAACACAATTTTGACTTAAATGGATACACAAAACCTGGATTTATAAAACTAATAATTCTGTAGTTAAACAAAATACTTCAGCTTTTTTTGGTAAAGCATTGACTTTATCTCCATTTGATTAAACCCTCCAATCACTTTAATATGAAACTATTGGTTACTGCTGCAAACTGTTAAACCCCCACACACGCACATTGATCGCACACACCAATCAGCTTCACTTTTATCATTACTGCTATATTGTAAGTTCATTTAATGGTGGCCCTAATTGTTTGCGGCTGCCTCCAAACGGTGCCTGTACAGAATAGAGCAACATATTGACGTGGGACTTTGTGCTGTTACGCGTTGGACCGATCGGCCGTGTCCGAGTCGGGTCTGTGGAGGATATTGATCAGAGAGGGCCCCGGGCTCCAGACTAAAACGCAGTCAGCAGAATCACGCCTCCCGCAGAGCTAATGAACAATTCCCTCAAACAATGAGAGAAAAACCACACTGGGAGCAGATCTACCCATGCATATAGGACCATTAAAGCACTGCATATACGCCTCAAATAGATGCTGCTGGTCGTACCGCCGTGGTCTCCTTGGAACGTATATTTCAATGTATTTGTGGATGATTGGGAATAGAACAACTCAGTCAGGAAGCCAAAGGACAAAGTGAAACTCTATGGCTTTGGAGGATGATACATTTATCCAAAGTTCTACACATAGAGGCATTCCTATTTGAGAAAAAATAAATGTTTCACTTAAAGAAAGCAGAGCCTGGTTTTCAAAGAGGAAAAGGAAGAAAAACCTGTATATGTCCCTCAATGAGGAAGCATATATTAAAATCCTTAACAATGTAACCCTTGTCAGTGGTATTATTAGTTAGTATTGAGATTTCACAGCTAAAGATAAAGACACATTTACAGCTATCTATCTCTGTATTTTTAGTGGGTTCTGTAATCTTTATTTTCATTTCTTCTGTAATGCAAAATGCAACGTCAACATCTCTCCACAGTGGGACGAATAAAGGATATCTTATGTTATCTTATTCCCGTCCCTGAATGCTCGGCCACCATGATGCAGCTTTGTACCTATAAATCAGTGCTCAGCCCAATATGAAGCAGAGAGGAGCACGTTCACCTTCAAAATATAGAATTCTTGCATCTTGATTCGGGCCTAAACATTTATTAATAACATTTGACGTATTCTGTGGTTGTAACAACCACATTTTGATTTAAATTGTATTTCATATCAACACATTTAGCTAAATTGTGTATTTTAATTTGCCTTTTTGGGCTGAAGACAACCATGCTGTGGGTCGTATCGCAGAGCTAGTTAGCATCCATCATGCCTTAAAGCTCGGTTGAGTGGATTTGAATAATTGGATTTTTTGGTATGTGGATTTAGAAGAAGGTTTTTACTTTAGAAATCAGAGCAGACAACCAAAAAGCAGGACTTTGCCTTTCCATACCGAGTCACCGGGCTCTTTCTGACAAGTATGCAAGTCTTCAAATGTAGATTAAGTTCTATGTTTACAATACACGTTTTGAAGGGGAAAAATAGAAATAATGAAATCATGTGAAGAAAAGGTACCTCAGCTTTAACGTCATATCACCTAACTAACTGTTGTATACTAATAATAATAATGCATTGGTTTTATATAGTGCTTTTTTGGACTCTCTTTTATTTAGATAATACAGACTAGGACATTTTGGTTTCATTCCTTTTGTTAGGCTAGCTTTGTTTAGTTAATATTATTAATAATGCATCGGTTATATACAGCGCTTTTTTGGACACTCAAAGACGCTTCACGTGTCATTATTAAATCACTCCATACACAGTTGTGATAAACTACTACAGTAGCCACAGCTGCCCTGGGGCACACTGACAGAAGCAAGGCAACCAGTATGTGCCATCGGCCCCTCCGACCACCACCAACCATTCACACACACACCAGACTCATTCTAGTCTAGTTCTCTTGTTTTTATATTGGGTTTTTTCTTTTGGCACAACTGGCCGACACCACTCCTCCCACCACTGTTATGTCTTTTGCTTGGCTTTTATAAAAATAAGAAATTGCCAAACCTTTTGAGCGTCTCTGTGTTTCAATGATTGTTTTAGATATCCCTGTTATGACTTATCTGTTCTCTTCACTGGTCGTAACAATGTGATTATGAAAGTGTTCTGTTTTACTACCAAATAAAATGCGTGAATCCTACTTTGCACACAATCTCAAGTACAAGTGTGTAAGTATAAGTAAACTAAAGGGGAAAACACCACTACTACATTTGTCTCCTCGAAACACAATTAGGTGTTTCGTTGTGAAGCCCAGGGGAGCCGCGGCTGACGGGGCGAGGACACAGACGTCGCACCAGTTACAACAATACACAAAAATAAACAAACCCAGTAACAAAGGACCAGCGAGAACCATCACATTTCCAAACACACGCCAGATCCTCCCTGCGCCACGGGACAGGAGGGAAAATGCCCGTGTTGCTCTGACTGACACGGACAAACAATCTTGTTACGAACGGCGCTGCGGCGCAATTTCAGATCACACACGACGCCGGCTCAGAGAAGCAGAAGTCAGGAGCGCGTTAATAGAAAGTCTCCCCAGCGACCGGCACAAAC